CCCCCCCCCCCCCCCCCCCGCAGTGAGCCTAGGGTGATAGACTGGAAAGGCAACACACACCCCAGGCATCTGCCACTTAACACTCCCCCTTCCCTCCTCCCTTGTGCCCTGGTGTTCTGTCACCAGGGGTATATTACAGTCCCAGCCCGTCTTGGCTCTCAGTCTGCACACCATCTGTGAGCTGGCTGAGTGCAACCCCTGCCCGGGGTGGCTTGTGCATCCTTCTCTGTCACTGTCAGGGGAGGAGCCTGTCCTGCGTGCTCAGTGGCTGTGGAGTCACCTTTCCCAGGCTGGGCTCACAGCCCAACCATTCCCAGAACTACACCTGGCTTTATTTCCAAGTAGTCTGCTCTGAGCTCCACGAACCAGGGCAGTCCAGAATCTTCCGGTCAGGCAAAATGGGCACAGTGGTGTCTGTCCTGCTATCCTTGCTACTCTTTCTGGGTCCTGCAGTCCCTCAGGAGACCCAAGCTGGTGAGTGCGGAAGCCAGGGTGGCTGTGGGGGACAGATGGGCTGGAGAAGGGCCTCTAATGCAGCTGGGATTCCCAGGTATACTCTGGGAGTGAGTGTCCAAGGCTGTCACCTAACTCAGCTCACAAACGTCAAGAAGCCTTGAGGGAGCCTCTGGACTCATGCTCAACGAGGGCCTTAACAATCAGAAGCTAAAACCCTTAGTTTACAAATGAGCAAAACTGAGACCAGAGAGGTGAAGTGACCTGGCAGGGGTCACACAGCCAGGACAAAGCAGGAGCCACACAGGTAGAACTTTCTGTCCCTTGCTTTCTTCCAGTGGCTGGGTGAATCTGTCTGGTTCTCGGAGAAAGAGGTAACAACCCTAAGGGGCCGATGTGAAGGTAGGTTAACTGGACGGTTGTAGAAGGAAAATGGTCCCCTCCCCCCACAGTCAGACCACAGTGCAACCATTAGCCCCGAGGGCAAGTTAGGGGGAAAGAAACCAGCTGGAATCTGGGAAGCACCAGAGTCCACACTAGGGCAGGAAAATGAGGCTGCTTCCTGGCCACCAGTTACAGGAAGAAATGTAAGCTAAACTGTGCATGTCTGAAATTCGTTGCATTTAAAAACTACGAGGATGCATGTTTTATTTTAAAATGTTAATCACATCCTACACCCAAATCTGTATTAGTCAGGGTTCTCCAGAGAAACAGAACAAACAGGATGTAAATACAGAAAAAGAGATTGAGGGCGCCTGGGTGGCTCAGTTGGTTAAGCAGCGACTGCCTTCGGCTCAGGTCATGATCCTGGAGTCCCGGGATCGAGTCCCACATCGGGCTTCCTGCTCAGCAGGGAGTCTGCTTCTCCCTCTGACCCTCTTCCCTCTCGTGCTTTCTATCTCTCGTTCTCTCTCTCTCTCAAATAAATAAATAAAATCTTTAAAAAAAAAAAAAAAGATTGATTTTAAGGAACTGGATGGCACAATTGGAATCTGCAGGCCAGAGACCCGGAGAAGAGTCAGTGTTGCCATCTTGAGTCCAAAGGCAGTGTGGAGGCAGAATTCCTTCTTCTTTGGGAGACTGGGCTTCTTTCTTGTGGCCTTCAACTGATTGGATGAGGCCCACCCACTGTGAAGGGTAATCTGCTTTACACGAGGTCTAAAGTTAATCACATTGAGAAACTAATTAGCAAGGATAATTTCAGTACTTGAACTAGGAATCATCCATAGGACCTCCAGTATTATTAACCCCGATGTGAGTCATATCATGAATTAATTACCGGAAATGTCCCTCCTCTCCAAGCCCCTGCCTTACCCCAAAATGCAAGGTGCAACCCTGGGAATTCTGAGATCCAGATCCTGGCCTTACCCTGTGCCAATTCATTCTAGGTCATCTCCTGAGTTTTCTGGTAAATTCTTCCTACACATTCAAATTCTATGTCTTAGATTAAGTTGTGCTCCAGTAACAAAGTTTTTAGTGGCTTAACCCAACAAGTGTTTATTTCTTGCTTGTGTAAAGTGAATACAGATAAGGCAACGTTCCTGTCTTCCCTGGGATGACTCAGGAATCTGGGCTATTTGCATCTTGGGACTCCTGGTTTCATCCTGAGGTCTCCACAGTCATCACATAAATAAAAGAAAGACAGAACAAACCAGTTCATAGGGCCTCAGACCAGAAGAAAGACATCACTCCCACTCACATCCCCAGAACTCAGCTGCATGATCCCAAAATACGTACAAGGAGGCTGAGAAATATTACCTTCTTATGTGTCAAGAAGAAACAATGAAGTGAAGACACAGAATGGTGTCTGAAGTACCATACGCAGGATAGAGGTAGGGCCCTTTGCACTTGAGTGAGCCTCCAGAGTGGTGAGGCTGAGGGCTGGGGAGGACAAGGCCCAGTGGCCACAGCCCCCTTCCTGGCCCTTTGCTGCCCCACGTTGGGCATCCCTTGCATGGACCCCACACCTCAAAGTCTTCTCTTTTTCAGGGCCTTACTCTCTGAGCTTCTTCTACACCGGGCTGTCCAAGCCCAGGGACGGCTTCCCCAGCTTCCAGGCCACAGCCTACCTCAATGACCAGGATTTCTTTCACTATGACAGTGAAGATAGGAAAGCCATACCCTGGTACCCCTGGAGCCAGATGGAAGGAATAGAGGATTGGGAGAACAAGAGTGAACTTCAAAAGGCCAGGGAGGACATCTTCATGGTGACCCTGAAGGACATCGTGGACTATTACAAGGGTACAGAAGGTCAGGGGACTGTGGGCTGCTGGAGTGGAGGGTCTTAGCTCAAGAGGCAGCCCTGCAGGGGTGAGTGGAAAGGGGTCAGCAGGATGGACGTAATCCCCGTCCCGAAGGAGGAACGGAGAGCAGGGTAGAAATACGCAGACACTCTGCACCCCCCACCCCCACCCCACAGCGCATCCGCTCTCCCCCTGCCCCATCCCGTCCCGTCCTCACTCCTAGGCCTCAGCTCTGACAGGAAGTGATGTCAGAGTCAGCTCTCATCCAGGCATGCGTCACCTCTCAGCTGCACAGCCCAACCTGTCTGAGGCTGATCCTACTTTAGAAGGCATCAGGCTCCCCTGCCCGGGGATGTTGGGAAGGGTGTGCTAACCCTGGGGTCCGTCAGACCTGGGTTCACATGGTGGCCCGGCCAGTCACTAGCTGTTGGACAATGAACACGTTCTTAATTGTCTGGTCTGAATCTGTGAAATTGGAACCTCCAAAAGATTCCACAAAACTTACCTGTGCAAATTCCATGAAAGCTAGAACATCGTCGGTCCCGATCATCCCATCACCTGGGACAGCCACTGATAACCTGCTCGAATGAAATATGTTGAATGATTGAGAGAAAATGCCTCACACAAACCATGGCCCATACTGGGAGCTCAGTAGGGACCGAATTCAAAGCCACACACTGTTAGAGTTACATGGAATCCTGAAGCCCCTCCTGTCCATGAGGAGCAGACTCGGGAGGGCTCATCTCGACTTGTGTTAGGAGGAAGATGAGGAGCCGGGACCCCCCCACACACCCCTCCACCCCCAACCCTGTCTCCCAAGTCAGCCAGTCACAGGCTGGTGAACTGTTGATGCTAAATCATCATAGGGTGAGTGTCGAAAGATGGGTTTCTGAGCACAAAAATGCCTAAGAAGCTACGTAGAATCTGGAAGCTTCCTATAGGAGGCCAGAGGTACACAGACATCTGCAGGATAAGGAACGGGAAGCCCTGGTAAGGAAAATGGCCCGCACTGTGCATCAGAAGTAGGAGAGGGTGCCCGGGAAGGACACCAGCAGACATGTGATTGGCTGTAATAAAAATGCTGAACCAAGTAATTATGAGTAAAGAGGGTAAAGAGAGGAATGGAGGGTGTGAGAATAACATTTCCTGAGCACCTACTATGTGCCAGGCACAGATATCAACACTGGTAACGCTCACAGCAACCCCCTAAAGCAGCACTGTGGCCGTTGCTGTTTCCAAGCTGAGAAGACCCAAGCACAGGGAGGGTAAACGCTCAAGTTGAAGCCAGGTCAGGGTGGAGAGAGATCTGCCGTTTGAGCCCAGGGGGGGTTGAGATCAGAGCCTGGGCCCACAGCACTAATCAGTATCGGGTCCACACCAGTTGTGTCCCCCTCCCAGAGGAGGCCAGTTTCCAAGACTTGTTGCTCACTGGGCTGAGAGGGGGCTTCAGAGATTCGTAATGAAGATCTTAGAGCCCAGAAAAGAGGGGAGCCGTGATCACATCATGTTTACTCAAGTGGTAACATCAGCTCCACTTAGAACAGCAAGAAAAAGGAGAGATTCGGTAATCTGTGTATAAAACTCCGAATAATTTCTATTTAACTTGGAGATGGCGCTTCAGTGTGGTTCTGTCAGGTTCCTAAGAACTCCCAGTGTATTCGAAGTTCACTAGATGAGATGATGCCGGAGGGTGGGGGGCAGGAAGCTGGGAGCACGGTGCATGGTCTGGACTCCCTGACCCTCCCCAGCTGGGAAGGATGCATCGCCGCTCAGACGGGCCTAAAACACCAAACCAAAGCACCTTTCCCTCTTCTGCTGTATGTGTGGCTCATAACCCATTTGCCAATATAAAGGGACCACATGCTTAGATTTCCAAAACCTCGCTTCCTGTTGTTTCTGCAAACTGTGTAGGAGTCAAAGTTATTAAAACAGAGTCGATGCCAGGCTGACTGACTTCCCCGGGGGCCCGGGGAGGGTGCAGGGGCTCACACCTTTCAGGGAGTGCTTGGCTGTGAGCTCTGGAATAACAAAAGCAGTGGAGCATTCTGGAGGTACGCCTACGATGGAAGGAACTTCATCGAGTTCAACAAAGAAATCCCAGCCTGGGTTCCCCAGGACCCAGCAGCTCTGAACACCAAGCAGAAGTGGGAGGCGGAAAAGGTCTACGTGCTGCGGGCCAAGGCCTATCTGGAGGAGGAGTGCCCGGCAATGCTGCGGAAGTACCTACAATACGGCAAGACCTACCTGGACCGACAAGGTACCCCCCGCTTCCTAGGTCCTGCTCCCCCCGCGCTGAGCTGAGAAAGACCAAGGTGATCTCAGGCTGGGAGCCCGGGGAGCATCTCAGGCCCAGGTGGTGTCTCTAGGATGACGCCTCCCACCTGGGCAGTGAATGAAGGGAGGTGTGGAAAATGCCTGCCTGTCAGAGCTTGGTTGTCACAAGCCGAGACTTTGGTTTGGGAAACAATGAGAACGAGGGTCCTGTGGGACAGAGCAGTCATGGGTCTGATGGATAGAGCCACGGCATAATTAAGGCACGGAGCTGAGACTGGGGGAGGAGGGAGCCCCAAAGCTCACTCAGAAGTTTGGGAAAAAACAGAAAAATGTATGGGGGGTAGTCACAATTTCTTGCCATCAGATGTCAATGCACGGTGGAGGGACGGGAGCCCGAGGGCTGTTGCGGTCATTCCACGATCCAACGGGGAGGCTCCTGGGAACCCTCAGCCTTGCCTGATCTTCGCAAAGTTTCCCTGGGGAGGCAGACACAGAGCTTGGAGTTCTGCTCATCACTGACACCCAGAGAGCGGGAGGGAAGGGACGTGAGCGGGAGCCATCGAGAGCAGACCCTCAATGTCCACCCTCTGTCCCTTCGCAGATCCCCCCTCCGTGTCCATCACCAGCCACCGGACCCCAGGAGAAACGCAGACACTCAAGTGCCGAGCCGATGGCTTCTACCCACGAGAAATTGAGCTGCACTGGATTCAGGGGGACGATACACAGGAGGCTGAGTCGGGGGGAGACGTTGTTCCCAGCGGAAACAGCACTTACCAGTCCTGGGTGGTGATGTCAGTTTCCCTGCAGGACAGAGCCTCCAGCTCCTACTCCTGCCGCGTGAAGCACAGCAGCCTGGCCCAGCCCCTCCCTGTGCTGTGGGCGGGAGCGAGGGCTGAAGGCTCGGAGGGCACCCGGGCGCAGTAGCCAACCCCGCTGCGGGACAGGAGAGAGGAGCTCTAGAGGCCAGGGGTCAGGTGGTGGATTCAGGGACACAGAAGCCTAGAATGCCGGCCACAGAGCTGACTCACGGCTCAATTGTCTTGCAAAACCCCATTAATCTAATCTGTGAATCAAATCAACAGTAATCACCTTGCCTAGCACACAATGTAGAAAAGCATTTTTTTAAACAGATATAAAAATGGGAGTAGATGTTACCCTTCATCCTGTGCTTCCAAGCCTTCGATTCATCTGAAATTCTTGGTACCGACTTAAAGCAACGTTTACGGGGCATCCTGCCCTGGGGGGTCCACTGTAGCGTGGCGTGGACCGTCTGGTCCCCTGCACCTTGTTCAGGAGCCCACTGTGGATGTCCCGTCTGTTGTGAGGTCATAGAACCTGTTTAATACAACCCACTCCTCTTCTGTGCCTCAGTTGCCCAGACCTGCCTCCTCCCAGTGAGCTGCCACCCTCCACCTTCTGGTCTTGGAGCCTCCACAGACCCTAGCTCATCTGAGAGGCTTCCTCCCTCCAGGACGCACTCCCAGGAAAACAGGAATCAGATGTTCTTGGACTCCCTCCAAATTCACCTGAGTTTGTTTGTTTTTTTTTAACCCAGTCACCCACCACCATCCACAGGTTTAAAAACCCCAAAAGACAGAACAGACCTCTTCACCCCTGACCTGTCTATGAAGCCCATCTGCGAGAAGCACACTTCCTTCCCTTCCCAGCCCCGGCCTCCAAGCTGGGCTCCTTAAGGAAATCATCCCCCGCATTCAGTATGCTGAGCTGACCCTTAGTCTTTCTTGAAAGCCTAAATTTGAAGGTTCTGCTTGTTATTTTTGATACTTTGACCCAGTTTGGAAATCAAAGCTGAGAAATAGCTTCCTCAGTCAATGTGAAATCCACATTCCTCTCCTCTAGAACCAAAAACAAAAACAAAAAAAAGTCCTGTTTGAACAGTAGAGGCTGCAGAGACAATCCAAATAGTCAAGATGGAAAAATATGGCCGTGAACAAATAAAGAAAACCACATGACAGGAGAAGGATTTCAGATCAATAAGGAAACCCAAAGTCCACAGGAACAGGCCAGGCTAAGGCAGACTGGAATGTGAGACCCCGCCCCACCACGGCAGGGGAGTTGGGTTGGGGGTGGGCAGGGGGAGGGAACCTCAGGAGACCCCAGTCCTGGCCAGCTGCGGGGGAAGGGGAGAGGGACACAGAGCCACTCAGACATCCAGAGAGACTTCCTGGAGAGATTCAGATTTCAGAGGAGGAAGTGAAGGCCAAAACAGCTGGCCAAGAAGAGATGAAAGATTGTTCCTGACCAGTTGGGCGTGAGATGGCTGAGGGGAGGGCCACAGGGGCCTGACAAGGGACATGACTGAGGGTGGGGCTGGGCTGTGGGCGTCACCGGGCGCACCAGGGACCCACACCGTGGGTCCTTCCACGAGCACCTCCTGCCCGCCCAACAGAGAACCAGCAGATTCCCCTTCAGGCAGGACCAAGTTCAAGTGCACTCTGAGAATGCCCCACCCCAGGAGGACCTCGTTGCCACAATCTGTCTCCTTGGCAATTCCTCGGTCACTTAGTACTATCTTGTCTCTCTCGAAGATTCCTCTGGGGATAGTTCACCAGCTAGACTGCAGGGATGGAGGGCTCGGATTTAGGCAGGATATGCCAACGGGTATGGGACTTAACGGTAGTTGCTGTTAAGGTCCTCTCCAGTTTGGTTGAATGCTGCTTTTCCAACCTGGCTTGTCACTAGAACTTGACAAACAGATTTAGAGTTTTCTATTTCCTCTGCTCGTCTATTGGTGTGTTCACTCAAGAGTTATATACTGAGTATTTTCTGCTTGGTACTCTAATAAACACTGAAGACCAAGCAGAACGAGTGGGTACTGCCCCCTCCTGCATGGAGTTTACCCCAGTTCTGCTTACTGAACCAATACCCTCTGTCAAGGTTCAGCCCACAACTTACCTCCTCCCGTGACCACTGCCATGATCAGTAATTCCAACTTATACTCGTCCATGCTGAGATGTCTCAGAAATATCAGGGAAGATTTCCAGAAAGACGTTGAGTGAAGCCAATGTCCACTCTATCTCAGCATCATCCCAGACCATTCTCCTTTTTGTTCCTTTCCAAGTGAAAGGAAAGGAATCAACGATGGGAATATCCGGGGGAAGAGCATTTGGGGCAGAGGGGATAGCAAATGCCAAGTCCCCAGGGCAGGAACAATTGTGGTATTTGAAAGGCAGAATAATGACCAGTGGGCTGGAGTGTCATGAACACGAGGAGGGTCATAAGAGAGGATGTTGAAAAGGCAGGTAGCAGTCAGATTGTGCAAGGCATCGTTTGCCTTGGGAAGGAATTTCTACTGCAAACGGCAACACCTGGTAGGTTCTAACCAAGATGGCAGTAGGATTTGCTTTAGGTTTTATTTTTTTTTTTAAGATCTTATTTATTTATTTGAGAGAGAGCGAGAGCAGGGGCAGAGGGAGGGGGAGAAGCAGGCTCCCCTCTGAGCAGGGAGCCCAGTGCTGCGGGGCTCAATCCCAGGACCCCGAGATCATGACCTGAGCTGAGGTCAGAGACTTAACTGACTGAGCCACCCAGGCGCCCCTGCTTTAGGTTTTTAAAACATCCCTTTGGAAAAAATAAATAAAAAATAAAACATCCCTTTGGCTGCTGTGTGAGGAAGGGACAATGGTGACACAAGGGTGGAAACAGGGAGACCAGAAACAAGTCCCTGGGAAGGACTCTGGACTGGAATCCTAGCAGCTGTGAAGGGAGCAAGCAGCCGGAGTTCAGGATATATTCTGGACATCAAGCCTACAGGACTTGCGGATGGACCGATGAGCCTTGAATTTGCTGATGGGTTAGATATGAACTGTGGGGGAGAGTGGTGACTCAAATTCGGATCCCAAGCCTTGGATCTGAGTCACTTCTGACAGCACCCTCCTCCACAGGCTATGTCACACATAGCCTCCAGCCTCAGCCCCTTTGATGGCTGTCACCCACCTAATCCCTACTGCTGGAGCACCTGCAAGCTTCTTGCTTCTTATCGGAGGAAACATTTTCAAGATGACCCACCTGGAATAGTAGAATAGTATTTCCAGTACTCCCAGTCCCTGCTCTGGTTCCCAATGTAGCTCCCCGTGACGCCCCAGAACCAGCCTCCAAAGCAATACGTGCTATTCCTTTCTGCGTCCTTCCTCGCTCTTACCGCTCAGACCTCTGTCTTCTCCCCCACTGGCCCGAGCTGCAAGCTAAGGTCCCAACTACGCCCCACGCTCGCATCCTCCCCCTTACCTGGCCTGCCTGCACACCCTCGGATGAGCTTGTCCCTCCAGACCACCCCTCCCTCCAGACGCAGCTTCAGCGTGGCCCACGCGCCCCCTCGTGGTCGGAAGGCAAGGGTGCAGGCTGGTCGTGCTCACCTGGGCGGGGTCTCCTCCCGCCAGAGTGCCAGGAAATGCACACGCACCCCTGGAACCCAGGAAGCCAAGGTGGCTGGATTTATGTCCCCGACCACAGCAGAGCTCCGGGAAGCAGAAATGCTTTCTACCTGGGAGGTGAAAAACTGTTATCGATCATTCTAAACTAAAAGCTGGCAGAGAGAGGAAAAGATCCAACTGAAACGCTTCCGTGAAGCCCCCTTGGACCGGCTCCTCCGGCCCGTGGCTGCCCCAGAATTTATTTGCTCCCTTCTCAGTCCTAAGCCGATACTCCTCGCTCTCTCCTGCTATGGTTCAAGGGCTTGCGTTCGGCTTTGAACTTCAAATCCCAGCGCCTACTTCAGGCAAAACAGTAAACTAGTGACAGAAGGAGACTTCCTTAACCAATGTGGCATTTAGGAATGCCCCTCAGCTGCAAGGAATAGCATACTTGACTGCCGATGGTTCATTACAACAAATGAGGGATTTTTCTCAGCTCCGGGCCAGCGTCTCTATGGGTGTTTTGTCTCCCCCTACTGGTCACAAAAATAATTGCAGCAGGTGTCAGGAAGGCGTCCTCAACAATTTCAGCAAAGCCCGGAAGCATGGCCCTGAGATAATGACCAAAACGTCTCCCCACCCACCCCCACCCCACCCCCGCTACTCACCCCACCACAGTTCCTGCCTTTGTTCATGGAGGGAAACCTTCCTAGGAAGACACACCCACCCACCCCTTCCGACTTCCCTTTACATCTCACTGCCCAAAGCCAGTTTCCGAGTACATGCCACAGGCTGGGTCCCTTTCGTGAGAAGAGTTTTCTGTCAATTCTTGTCAAAATCAGAGCGCATTTTTTAGCACACATATTTTTTGGAGGGGGTTTAGTATTATATTATAATCTCCCTCCTTCGGGGGTAAGCAGCCAACAGTTTCTGTTACACTTGAAAAGAATATGATATAATGTTAAAAAAAAAACAGTTACCTCACTTTAATGAAACATTAGCACATTCCCATTAAGGTCAGGAATAAAACCAGAATCTCTATTTCCACAGTTATTCAATATTTTTCTGGCACTTCTAAGTTAATTCCTTAAGACAAGAGGAAATGAGAAGTTCAAATACTAACAATCATGAATTGAATTGACACTTATTAGCAGATGCTCTGCCTTCCTACCTAGAAAACTCAAGAAAATCAATGGCCAATTCCCTGAAATAAGTCAGAATTCAGAAATGTGGGTGACAAGCAAATATACAAGATCAGTAGATTGCCTATATACCAACAACAAGTAGTTCGGAAATATTAAAGAAAAAAGGAAACCCAATCACAATCGCTTTAAAAGGAATAAAAATAGAATACCCAGGAATGACTGGATGTTTTCCTCAGGGTTGAACAGGGCGCCCTGATTTATACAGGTTATTGTTTGCAATGGAGTTCCGCACCTTTGGCCTTGAATCTGGTATTTGTCCCTTCTCTTTAGGAACCCAATGAAGGGCTCTCCCAGGCCTCCTGGCTCAAGCCGTCAGGCGTATCCTATCTCCTACTCAGACTTCCTCTCTACCCAAGCTATGTAAGGGGTCTAGAGAACCAAACACAGGCCAGGTTGCAGTGGCCTGAGAACAATTTGTCTTCGATATGGGAATAAATTCTTAATATAATACTAAACCCCCCTCCAAAAATATATATATATATATACAAAACAGTGCACATGGGAGTTAGTATGGGTTACTGGCTAAGTAAGCAGTCTCTGGAATAAGATTGAATGGTTTTGACTGGAAGCTCTGCGGTTTATAACTGTGATCTCTCTACCTCAGTTTTCTTGTCTGTAAAATAATAGTAGTGCATACCCCAGAATGTGATGAGGGTTAAGTGAGCCAACACAGGTAACACTCTTTAGTGGTAGGTACATAATAAACATTCAAAAATTATTAGCCACCCAGGCGCCCCAAGCATCTAGCTCTTGATTTCAGCTCAGGTCATGATCTCAGGGTCATGAGATCAAGCCCTACTTTGGGCTCGAGGTGGAGCCTGCTTGGGATTCTCTTTCTCCCTCTCCTTCTGCCTACCCCCCACTCACTCGCACGCTCTCTCTCAAATAAATAAATTTTTTAAAAAAAATAATTAGCTATATTAAGTATTCTATCATGGTTATCGTTACTGAGAGAAAGGTCTTCTTAAGCCAGGTACTGTTCAAAACTCATTAATTCATTTGTTCCTCAAGACAACAGAAATGTTTTCTGTGCAACTCCCAGCTGAGGCCCTTACAGGGAAGGGCTGAGCCCTCCTTCCCCCTTGGTCTTCCTCATCCTGCTCCTTGGGATTGGGTGTGGTGCCCTGGAGCTCCATCTTGGACTGCGACATTGAGAACCACACCCTGGGGACAGCGGAGCAGAAAGCTGGAAGCAACCAGAGTACCAGGTCCCTGCCGGTGGAGCCCCCAGCCTAGCCCTGAACCGCCTAAATCCAGACTTTACAAATGTGAGAACAACAATCCTCTGTCTTGTTTCAGCCACTCACATTTGGAGTCTCATTCACAACCATCAAACCTGTGTCCTAACTGATAACAGCCTGCCACCAGGCAGGTTCTGCCATTTGAGACATTCCTGGGTGTAGTAGTGAAAAAAACCTCGGCCTTCTGAAATGCCCTTTCCTTAAACTGAGACAGGGCCAATTAGAAGGAGATAAGA